CAGAGTCAAGCGATATCGTACAAAGAATTAAGGTTTTCAAAATAACCTCAACTCTCTTACCTACGATGTTTCGTGCTCTGTGCCGCAGCGACCACATGATACTCACATCCCTATGCAGCAGGAAATCAAGCCAACCAATACATGCCGAGCACAATCAGAACGGATGGTACTGAGCAAATAGAAGAGGGATTCTCAATACATGCTCTTACAAAGGATGTTTCGTGCTCTGCGCACCGGCGACGCAATAGAAATACATAACTAACAGTCCAACAACAAAGTTTAGAATCGTATATAAGATTAGGCTCAAATAGAGAACGCAGTACATATCAAACATATATTGCACGTAGCCGCGGATTTAGGGATCATCTTGACAACAGAAAATTGATGCTAAGAATAGCGGTCCAGGTATATAGAGCCAAATAAAAGGCTAATCGGAAACACTACGTAGCCACACTGTGCGGAACCTATAGCCGAGCACAGCGGGACGAGAAGATAAACTAGTCTTCAAATCTGAAAGATCGTAATCAATCTTGAGTGTACATATCATCAACCTTAAACTTGCTAGTGATCATGGCGCCGAATTCGGATTCAGATTATGATCCATCTAACTATGAGACTCGAGGCCGTCCGCGTGGCTCAAAAAGCAAACGAAAGAGAGATTTGCATGATACTGCTTCTCCAGTACGTGCTCGACCACCAAGGAAACCAGATGCGACAGATACCGAGAGATCAGACCTTTTTCAAACAGCCAGCCAGTCTTTACACATGAGTTTTGCCGAGAAGCAGCTGGACTCCGCTGATTTTGGTTGCTTCTCCCCAATCTCAAAACCCACACAGGTAGAGGCAGCGAAGCTTTGCTACGAGAAGAACACCGACATCATCAGAGGACTAGAACTGACAGCCAGGGTGCAAACGTTCTGCTACTGGTGTCAAGTGATGTGCCGCAAGGAAGAGTTGTCTGAGAGCCCGTGGCCGTGGAATAAATACTACGAGAATCTCACGCAGGAGGCTCAAAATCAGATACAGGTTCTCATAGAGTGCAATCAGTGCTTTACAACTGAACACCTTGAGAGCGACCCGTCATCATCCGTTCCGACTTGCAAGATGTGCCATACAGCAATGAGTCCTCGACAAATGAACGAACAAGGATATGCAAAACTTGCAAGACGTGCATCTTTCCTCCAGCCACATCTCCGCTGCATACATCGATACCCCCAGGAGCTGATGGATCTGACACCACTTGAAGAGAGGGCCATTAGTATCAACACACCATTCGGATTCATAACAAAGCTACGTATGGATCTACAGTGGGTGGGTACAAAGTACAGGAAACATATTAAGGGTCATATCTGTGTCTTTCCTAGTAATATTGACGACTTGACGACCAATGTGCTACCGCGAACCTTACAATCCACCCTTGAAAATTTCCTCATCACTTGGAGCGGCAAACAAGAACCGTCAGACAAGGACCTCAGCACATATGCGACAATCCGACCACTAGCAATCGAGAAAGCTCTGATCTGGCTCAAATCAAACAACCCTGTATACAGCCATATTGTCATAGATACCGAAGAGCTTTCCGGGTGGACACAGACACGAGTTACTGCTGCAATTCGCGCCTGCGCACATCACGCAGAGCCTACTGCAGATGAGGAGATGAACACTGCTCACTACACAACGGCTGAGGACCGCGGCGCCACGACTGAGACCGGTGACATTATGCCACAAGATCTGGGGATAGGTATTCTGAGAGACGTGGAGTCTCAAAGGGACTCAGACTCATCCCAGGTGACAGCCAGTATAACAGTCGATGAGACGGATACAACTTATGAACGTGACTCCTCTGGAATATTCGATACCGAGGGTTCCCTCAGAAGCACCGATATTGACCAGCTTCAATTTGCAGCAAATGCCCTAGGTGCAGCAGTCGGGAGTTCAGCAATAACCAACAGCCAACAAACTGAAGATAATGCAACTAGGGATTTGCCTCGCGCAAGAGTAGAACTCAGAGCCACTCAGACAGCAACTCCATACATACACGTCCGCCGCGGAAATGAATTTGCCGATAGCAACGACCCCCAATTCTGGCCCAAGACATTCCCAACCCTTTTCCCACACGGCATTGGCGGACCAAGGGTTAGAAAGTTACCCGAGCTAAGAACACGAGATGAGGATAATTCTAGAGATGACTGCCATTCGAAAGACGGATTTAGCCTACGGTACTGGGCGAAAATCTGTCTGCTCCGCCACGGTGGACGTTTCTCTCGCCACCCTATCTTTCAATTTCTCATCTTCAACACACTTGTCAAGTCGAACAACAGACGAGTAAGCATGCAACGAATGACCAAAACTTCGTTCCGCCATTTCAAGACCTTGTGGCAGTCTCTCACACCGGAACGTTTAAATGTCGCGGCTAAGGAGATGGAGAGCACCAAACAGACAAAGGATAAGGATATCCAGGAGCTTATGAGGCAACTTTCATCATTTGGATACTCATTCCCTCTATCTGCGGAGGCACGACTACAAATGCGGAAGAAGATTCAGAGCTCTATCATACATTTCGGGCTCCCCGTCCTTTGGTTCACAATCAATCCGAATGGCCTTATCAGTCCGATAAAGAAGTGGCTGAGTGTGTGCCAGGCCGCTCTGCCGGAGGATATCAGAGACTTGTTGCAAAACCTCGAAGACAATTACAGCAGGAATTTCTTTTAAAAAATAAATCAATGTACTGCGTGCTGTATTGTTCCGGAAACTAATCATAGTGTAGGATTTCATAATACTAAGTTAATATCAAGACCAGCCCATCCACGCACTATGAAGCTACTTGCAGCCGCCCTGTTATGCCTCTGCTTGAGCATTAGGGAACCAAACCATGAGAGTCCGACCGAGGCTCCAAACAAGCGGCGTAACGGTAGACCTCCACCCCTTCACCTCTCAAAGCCGACTAGGTCGAGACGCGTTGGTAAGAGGCCGCCGACGCCCTACCCAAGGGGTTGTCAACCTCGCCAGTCAAGGTACAGGAAAGCACGTTTCAAAGATCGTCTACATACAGGCCTCTGGCGTTTAGGCCCCACACTTATAGCTAGCTGTGACGCAAGCTCTCGACGGGTCTGAACAGTTTAGAGCCTTTTTCTTTTAAAGTTGAATAGTGCAGCGAGTAGAGGGTGTAGGTTTTTTTTCGACCCAGTGGTGTTGGGGGATGAAGCTCGGCATCGACTGCACCATCTGCGAGGTAGGCACAGCGCCAAGTAAGGAACTTTGCAGAACCAGTGCTGGGGAAACCAGTGCTATTTGACCGGTAGCAGGCGGATTAAACGTGTTCTGCGTTGTGTGATCCGAAGCCCTGTACTTCACTGGTTCTTGTTCGACTACACAAACAAGACCGCTTCGTACTTCGGCCGCGCCATCACCAAAACCAGCCGCCCTCGGTTGCCGCTGTTGTCCGGAAGGCAGACCGCAAACCCCCTCTGCCACCTCGATCCTCGTCTCAATCGCGCTGCTATTGCCACGCTACAGACTTTTCCTGGAGTCCACGGCTTGTGACTGCAGCTGAGGTCTGGGTTTTATGCAGCACGGAGTGGAACTGCGTGTGCAGGATTCTAATTGTCCTTACCTCTTGTTCTTTGGTGTAAACTCTTGAGGAAACATGAGACGGAATCGAAAGCCCGGAAGTAAAAGGTGGTGTCGAACTTCCAACTGTGTGTTGTATATTTGTGTCAGCCGGAACTTGCGTCTAGTTAGAGCTTTGCTTCGCCGTGTCAAAGGAGATTGACGAGCTGTTGTATCGTTTAATAAATTAAGACTTTTAGTTGTTTATCGTTTGGCGGACTACAGATGAGACGTGCTTCTACCTAGCATATATGCTGCTTAGTCAAATAGTTAAGGAGTAAATTTTAGTCGTAGATAATAGCATTGTAAGATATAGTTTTTTTAAGAGTACGCTGTCTGGGTTAGACGAGCCGTTGCTGGGTCCTAAAGTCGAACTGCTGCCTGATGGTTATTCTAAGGATGGTGATTGCCAAACTACCTCCTGCCTTTTTACCTCCGCCCCCGCCGTCCTTACGCTTCCAAAGGTCGCTGTAGGGCGAGTTAACAAATTGTTGTTAATGTTGTGATGCGGGGACGAGCGATGATGTAATGCTGGACGTCTCGGTTGTCGCAACAGCCGAGACGCCTATTTGCACGGTGGTGCAGACTGCGAATGTAGAATCGATCCTTATGACTGGTTGAGTGGTTGTTTTGTGAGTCGGATTCAAGAATGCTATGGGTTGTAAACAAGAAGTTAAGCAATGGCAGATTTCAGAAAGATAGAGTGAATTACATTACCCGTCCTAATATCGGCGGCCTTCACTGCTTTCTGAAGGTCGAAGAGATTCCCCAGGTCGAGGACATACTTCCGCTCAGTTTCGACAAGTTCGCGTATGATGTAAGTTGACTTCGAGATGCAGTTAAGAAATTCATTGATACGAGTTCTGCCAGATAGTGCAAATGCAACTTTGTAATAATAAACGATCTTATATCAGTTCCTATAGAGAAAAAAGTAATGACACCTTTACGAAGAACCACATATGCTTTGCTTGAGGTAAATACTCGTTAAAGCTATAAGCAAGTGCGACTTAGAGATATCAGAAAGCATCCGCTACTTAATCCTGACCATAAGCTCAGAAATTCACTAGCCGCACCCAAATTTCTTAAGGACATAAGGATCCTTGAAGAATATCTTCCACCATTTTCTTGCAATGCAGACAGTTGCAGACAGTTGCAGACAGTGTTGATGCAGAACAAGATTCAGGATTGTACAATTAATAGGAGAATTGTGCAATGGGATGCCTCGTGTAGCACGTAAATCAAGAAGTAAGTGTTCTTATAGATTGTATGTAACTAGGTATAGAAACAAACCTACCAGTCAACCAACCTACCAGTCAACAAATTTACCAAGTCAACCAGATCTACCAGTCAAAATGGGACCAAAAAGCACGACTGCCTTAATGCTTGCTGCGGGGAACCACTGGGAATCGAACCCAGGCCATTGACTGTCAAGGGCCAATATCCTAACCACCGGACCATAGTACATTTAGCACAAGCATAAGGGCAGCCGTGCTCAGAAATGAAGAGAAAACGGCACACTATATGCTAGGGATCAAGAACCAGACGAGGCACACACAGGCACATTTCCTTCACCCACAGCATCAGGCATACCCAGGAGCTCAGACAAATCAACACCACCATCATTCGCCATGGAACTCCAGTCAAAAACACCCACTTGAGAAGGCTAATATAGGGCTTGCTAAGCGCCAGAGAGCTAAAAGAGCCCGAGTGCAGCTTGGAGGACCACTTAGTATTGATTAATCCCAGGTGATGATTAAAAAGAAACAAAAGTGGAAGCGGCCAGCTGGTGAAATGGCTGGTGGTGCTGTGGAGGCGGTCTGCAGCGGACCGCCTTGACGACGATGTGGCAACTGCGGCGAGACTGGGCAAAATGCAAGAACTTGTGAGAAAGATGTAGAAGAGTCTATTCCATTACATTCTGAGTGTATAATAGTGCATTCTTAAGCGGTCTGTGGCGGACCGCCCAAATAGTTGACCTAGCTGGTGTGGATTAAGGTTTGATCCTGCATTTCTGAAATGCTCCATGTCTAAGCACCATCACTTGGTAGTCTCTCCCGTAGCCGAACAATAATTGGCACTTCCTTGTCGAAAGCATGTGACCCAAATGGAAATGTGCGGTGGTGCGATCCAACTTTTGCCGTCGCAGCGGGGTCCAAGAGCCTGATATCCAGGCTCCTCAACAGCATTACTACGGAACCCAGGATTGTATGTCTTGCTAGACTTTCTCCGGGGCATTTCGAGGCACCTCCGCCGAACGGGAACCAGTTTTCAGCCAGCCCTGCCTTAACCAGCGCCTTCCTACGATCACCAAGGAATCTTTCTGCCCAAAATGCTTCTACCGGATGCTTAGTTTTCCCCCAAGGTACATCACTGGCGTTCCAAAACAAACTATTAACGCTCCCGAGCCAGTTAGGGAACATTACTGGTATGTTCTTTCTGATCTTGGAGTTGCCGAGTGAGTAGTCGGAGTCAAGGCATTTGCGTCCAACCGCACCTGCAATACGGAGACGAAGGGTCTCACAGTACACCGAATGCAGCAACGGTCGGCTCAAAGAGTTATCTAAATCCAGCTGAAAAGGTCCGGACAGGGCAGGATCAATTTCAGGTTTGAGCCGCTGGGCAAGGTCCTGGTCGAGGAGGATGTAAAGCAGCATCCACATCGTGGCAGGTATGCTATTTGCCACCGTTCTGAGAACTCATCAGCTCACTCCGCGGGCCTAACAAGGGTGGGTAGGGGAAGCGCACACGAATAAGTATCCAAGCATGATGCTAGCAATGCCGTCATCAGAGAAGCCCAGGTCCTCATGTCGCTTAACCATCTTTCTGATACACTCTGATCCCCAGACCGGTTCATATGCAACGTCTTGCTCGTCATGCTTAGCTGGGTTGAACTTGGCATGGCAGATTGTACGCCAGGCCTTGAAATTCTGGAGCATCCTCTTACGGGCATTATAGGCGGAGGAAAAGAGCCACCTTGGCATTCCCATAGAGATAATTGGAAATCCATTGTAGAATGTCATAAAGTCTTCACAAAAATTCGGGCAGACAGTGAATATAGTTTCGCCATACAGCGCACAGACTTCGGCGTGGAATATATGCCTGAAAAGAAAGGAGTACATATCGCATAGAACCGTAGGTTTCTGAGACAGACCAGGGTCGTCTCGGAGATTAGTATTGAGATTGATCAAGAACCTCGTGATCACGGCATGGAGGTGTCGGCCCTGGAAGTAGAAAGCAAAGTCTGCCCGCTGATGAGCCATAATGCGGCGGGAAGGATCAGAAAAACTAGTTTTGAGCGCGGTTGAGCGCTCACATTGAGTGACGACCTGGTGGTCAAATATGCGCAAGTCCAGTCCAGGCAGACCGAAAAACACCGTAAGAGCATCTTCGAGGCTGGGGCATGGGACAAGCTGGCGGGAGCTCCGCAGAAGCTGTCGCACCTGCTCACCCGGCACAGCCAGGTACACGCCATAGTTGCAAAAGCCCATGAATGCCGGACCGGGGCGGGATCGGGACCTGTGCCCATCAGTACATGGGTGCTAACAAGAGTCCGTTGAATTTACAGGAGTTCGCGTAGAAAGCTTTCCCGCCCAGACAAGAATCGCAATGCATTCAGTAGGCCTATGGTGGAATGACACAAGTCCAGATACCAGGCTTTGCGGGACAGGTGGCCTAAGTACAGTATATAATTATAGCAACACTTAATATCATAAGAGCCAGCCCGGGGGAAAAGGTCGGCACGTTAAGAGCGAGTGTGGTATCTGCTACGCCATATTTAAGGAAAGCCATTATGGAGATTGAAAGACGGCGTGGGTTGGCACATGCTTCGAGGTTGTAGATTCTGTGACGGCTCTAGGTGTTTTTATATAGTAGAGGATCTACTGTATCATTGTGCGAAGAATCTACCAGAATAATAAAAGCCTGTGCTTGATGTAAAATAGTACGTATCACAAGTACTACACATTTTTCTCAGCGACAAAGAGTTGAACAATTCTGTACAGTACTGTACAGAACACTGTACCAGTCATGGATCACGTTTGTCACTACCATATGATATTTCCAACCAATAGAGAATGGTATACTAATCGCGCTAACTAACCCTTCCTGTAGCGTTAGTTTTTGAACAAATCGTGGACAAGAAGTTCATTCATAACTTTATGCTAACTATCTTCAAGTAATAGGTCGTGAGCAGGACATAATTGATGCTTACCTCTTATAACGTTGTATATGACCCTGTTCAATTTCAGGCAACAAAGGTTGTGTCGTTTGAAATTTGACCACAGTACACACAATTGGAGGCTAGCCTGCCTAAGCTGGAATGTAAAAGCATGTTGTTAACTGTAACAAGATCTTGTGGGCCGTAATGATAATGTTACGCTTTGCACCACTGCTCTATTCGTGCAAAAGTGACGCCAATATTTGCCATGCTATTGTGGAGACGAGATGATAGATAGTGTCAAAGACCGGGGGGAAGAGTATTTGCACTTAAATGCAATGCTTAGTTTAATAAAACCAAAAACCTCAAACAACACATCAAGACACATACTGACCCTACTTATATAATATGCATCTAATGCAAAACCAAGTCTGTTGAGTCACTTCCTGATTTTGCTGTTATATGCGCAACTCTGCCTGACTATCTTGAAAGCTTTGAATATGATCTGCTTGCTGATGTGAATCGCTATGCTTGTCCAGAGATGATGCCACCTATTACATTCGGAGGTTTCTCTGACTCACAGGGGTTTCGACAGTCTGTGAATATACAGAATACGTTCGGCCCGACGATTGCATCGGCAGCATTACCAATTGAAGAGCCGTTTTAAACTGGCAACACGTCTAATTCAAGGAGCAATCAGGCAGTGTTGGACCCTCATATACTTGAACAAAACCGATATCAGCATATTTTACGGATGGGCGATGCAGCGTGGTTGCCTTTTTTCTACTCCCGACAACTATAAACCAGGTCTAGCTGGGTCCTAGTGTAACCTTAGTGCCCCTTCGCCTATAAATCCAGAGGTATCTCTTTAGGGATATTACTCGAACCACCTGGCTAGATGATGGTTTTAGATGTCTCGGTGACGGGGCTGCCCAGACGGTCGGTGACGTCTGCTCAAAGCCCATAGCTGTAGATGCCAAGTCTCTCGCAGCAAAATATCATCCCCGCCTGCGCAATGTTGCTCAGCTGTCCCGTGAACGTCTAAGCTGATTTCGGTCCGGTCGTCCACTGTTCAGGGTCCTATTTCGACAGTACGAAACTCTCCACCAAGAGCATTTCTCGTCTTGTCTCTAGTCTTTGATGGCTTCTTTGGGAAATTTGTGTCTTGTTTTATCGAGCTGTGCGGAGACCCTGGCTTCACATTTGTCGAAGTTGGCTAACGTTGTCGAATCGACATGCACCGTCGTCCACCACCTCCATTCTTTCATGGGAAGTCTTTCATTCCTAGCCATATTAAAGAGCGGCGACATTGGTACATTGGAGATAGACGTCTGTTATCATGTCTTTTGATTTCAAAGACATTTCTGTCAGCATTGTGGTCCAACGCCGGGTCAACGTGTCAGCACTTGAGACAATCACATCTGGAAGAGTTTCATTCAACTAACGAGGTCCATCTAGACGGTACAACAAGGTATTACCTCCTGCAACTCTTAATGTGGCCTGATGCAAAATGTTCGTCCATATGGCAGGAAGCGGGATAATCAGCGCTAGGCTGGATTGGTGAAATAGGCCATTCCTGCGACCTGGGGACCTGACTTTGCCCGACGGACTTCTCTGATTGCACAGATCCGTCCATAATCTCTGCAAGGAACCCAGCGGCATCAGCTCATATCACGAGAGAGAGCGTACGGCTTAGTGGAATCGAGTTGATTGAAGGACTAGTTTCTGCGTCGGGATCGATCTGGCGCGACAAATTTCCAGATAGCCCTAACTACAGATAAAAAAATACAGCATACCCTTGTAAAGTATCTCGAGGCTTGAAATACGCCGCTTTACTGTGCACACACTTGCTCTAGACTTCGGCGTTCTCCACGAAGCCGCCTGAGACCCATAACTGCCTGCCCCCTTTAGCCCTTCGGCCGCCAAAGTAGAGTGCATAGGTACTTTTGCCCGGCCAATTCTTGGATCTTCGGGTCGCATACCAGCTGAACTTCGATGAAAAAGTAACCGATGTACATGCAAAGTACATATTATAAGCATTATAAAGATTAGGGGTGGGAGAGCAGGGGGGTTGGGACTAATATTTGAACTTCTGGTCTTTTTGTAACGCCTTCCCATTTGTACCCTGCATATTACCCAGCCGGTTACTGCATGACTTGCATTTTGGTCTGGTCATGTGAAGGTGACCATTAAATTCGAGCCTGAAATGAGAAGTAGATACTGTAGAGTACATACAAACAGGCTTATTAGCTGGTTCTGGAGTTAGCCTAGCTTAACTTTGGCCTAATACTATAGTTCATAAGCTGTA